ATTTGAAACGCATTCAAACTGGTTTTTTACCCATGCCGCATCCCAGCATTGCGACGCAATTCCCAATCGCGGCAAAAACAGGTGCTTGCCCAGCATTGGGACGTCAATGTCGCAACGCGTTAATCCTAATAAGTGCAGCGTTCAGACTTGCGACGCCGCAATCATGGCGCTCCGCGATCGACGCCATCGGCCACGCATGCGCGATTCGATTGGCCTCGACCGCCGCGCCAAAGCGGCTGCGCCGTCGCCGAAAGTCTATCACGCTGCCTATATAATGAGTAAAAGTGTACTGCTGGTAACTTGCCGTGAAGAAGAAAGAAAGGAAAGTCGAAAACACTTATATGAAGCCCTACTTGTGCCAAACGAGAGATAAAGAATCGATGTGGATATCGGGTGAGAGGCTAGAGGAAGCAGCGAAAGAGCATGCACACCAGCAAGACTGTAGGTAAGGCATCTACCATTGTGAAGCAGATTCCACTGGTTTTTGGGGTTCAGCTTAGGAGAAGTTGTGTTTTACCGCCGCTAGCTCACTTTTTTCTAACCTTACGGGCTGTCCGCTGCAGTCCACACAATCTTCGTCATGAACACCCTATGTAATTGTGAGTAATCGCGGGCCCTACATCTGAGATAGCATGATTCGTCTAGTAGCTTGGAGCCATGTCTGAAGGGGCTTGCTTTATACGACTCGCAGGATCGTCCACGTACCATGCTGTTGTTTTTTCGTGGTCGCGGACGTTGTTTGGAAGGATAAGAAGCTACGCGGAGAAGATACCCTGCCAATCGTCTCCTGTTCGGTGGGTTCGGAAAGGTCCCTACCTTGCATGTAAGCTGAATCGAGTCTGCTATAAGTTGCACCATTATAATCCAATGAATTTTTTTTTGGCTAGATCGAATCTCCTCCCTCGCGAATCCTAATTCTTGTTCTTCAAGTGGTTCCCGCGATTCTCTCACAAACATGAGTGGTGCTTCTCAACGGAGAACATCATAGTGAGATTATTACACTTTTTTATTTCTTTCTATATCATTGCGTTCATTGAATTTTCTCATCTTTCCAATTGAGCAAAAAGGATGACTTCGCCTCAAAATTGTTAATGTTATTTACTTTTTCTTTTTCTTTTAACCTACTGCAATAGGTACAATATCAAATGGCGCGCCGAGGATTAGAAATTGAAGCAACCTAGAAGAACGAAGTACGAAAATCACTCACCACACAACAAGAAACCCTCCAAACCACGAAAATTTAAGAGTTGCTTTATATCCGACCTGAATCCTGCATTTTTTTTTTCGGAATTTTTGAAAATTCCGGTCTAGCATAGAATTTTTTGTACAGTGAATCTTGATAGAGACCAGTGAACTCATTTTTAAGTTTGTTTGCGCCAATATGGTTTTCTGATGGAGCTAACGTTGCGAGGGGAAGGTTAGGTTGCACGAGGCGAGACTAGAATGCGCCATGTTTGAGGATGTGGGCGCTATGAATCTGGGGATCGTTTCTCATTCCTGGCTCGTCCGTGGCAGAGCGCCAATTGGCACCGCAGACAAAAACTGGGTATCATATTCGTGATCAGAACCAACGCCTATCCTCGAGTTTGGTGGCGAAGGTAGTGACACCAAATTAGAGCACAGGGCACCAAACAATGCCGATGCTACAAAGGAAGGCCATAGGATCATGAGATCCCTGAACACAGATTACGCGGTTGGACTGAGTCAGGGATAGAACCAGCTGTAGGGTGTTGGGAAGTGTTAGGGGGTTGAGTCTGGTACGGCGTCAGCCTGTTCCCCATTAAGTGCTGAAGCGGGCAAGCTGTAATGGTCGGTGATGACCGCCGTCCCAGCACGCGTGAAACCCTGCCCCTGACACGCCCCTGTGCCTGCAGGGAAAACGCCTACATGAATACGCCCCCTCGCCGCCCCAAGTCTGATAGCAGCGTTTGGAGCCACCTCGCTACACGATACAACAGCAAGGCGAAATTCTAGATACGGTGATTGCTAGTCAATGGCGGACATTTTATAATAATTGTGATGCGGCTACTGCTTACTTTGGCATCCAGCTCAAATAAGGTTTCAGAGGTGCTTGTGCACCACCAATCCAATCATTTCACAGCGCTGATATTCACGACCGTTCAGAAGTTAGTTGGTTGTTAGGTTATCCTCATAGTTTTCAACAATTAGCGTATAAAATCTTCATAAAAGATAGAGCCTTTACCGTTGACCAACCCCTTATGACATCCGGCACGCATTCTACTCCCTTCCAAGCAGCGGCTTATTGAATGCGATATGGCCCACAAAGTGACTTATGGGGGCCAGCCGATGTACAAGTCAGTTTTCTTGTCCTTCCCATACGAAATGTTACCAATCAACGTCGCCTGAGGGAAGAAGTGTTCGTTGGCCTGTGCGAGAGCCGAACCGGGACTTCACCCCCGAACCAAGCCTTTCACTAGCCACTACACCACCTTCGCCTCGACATAATCTTCATTTCCTTGTCAATTTCACTTGAACACGAGACAATGTTGATAATCAAAGTGTCCTTCCGCTTCACCCGATTGTTCCTTCACCGATGGTTGATCGATCTTCTCGGCTGATTCTTTTGTTTTTTTTACGCAGTTCGCACTCGTGAAGCATCAGCTAACGTTTCTCTTCCCGGTCTTATTCGAACAAATGATATGTCAGTCAACGTGCAGGGGAAGGATTATCAGCTGGCTCAAAAACATCTAACTCCTGCATAAAACTTTTTTCTTTAGCAAAGTGTGGTGACTTTCTCAAAAAAACTGCACCCACAAATATCCCATTGCTTTTTGTTTCCGAGATCTGAATCATTTAGGCACCAGTTTTTCAGAGCAACTATTAGATCGATGGTGAAGTAATTGAATTTGAAATATATGATTCCTAAAGTCGTTTGACATAAAATGACAACTGACAAGGAACTTTTGGGCGACTGTGACTGATACATGTTTCTCTCCTCATTGCGTTCACTTCAATGTTCAGCTCTCACTTTACTAAACGTTTAGTGCGCTTTTCGGCTTGGTAGTCAGGGTACAGCATCGTGATGTGGTCAATGGCGGTGTCAGTACGACCCCCCACCCTCCGAAGAGGGATCCCGCTACAATCTGCCCCCCCCTACGGCTGTAATTGCTTGCTGTGAAGAGAGGACTAGATACATAACACAAGCGCTTGCGATCGGTCGGGTTGAGATCTCAGCGCAAAGTGGCTCTGAAGCACACGTGTTAACATGGGGCGGACATCGTGGGGTTTCTTGCGGGAGTTATAACTTTTTTCAGCTGAGGGGCATTTGAGAAACTAAAGGCGGCCTGTCAAAGCAATGTCTTTACTGTTGCGCTCTCTTACTTCCAGTTCCTCAATCATCCGTTTGAGAAATGATTTTTAGATGGGTTTCTGATGAGCGAAATTCAGCCACTCAAAAACTCGACTCCCTCTGTGCGGAACTCCAATATGCTCTCAAAACACATATGCTTCAATCTGAGTGAGAGCCAAAAAGTTTCCTTACTTCTTGATCCGACTCGGTCTGTAGTGCGTCGTGCACTGACTAAAAAGCAGAGATGGTGTTAAGATGTACGTTTTAATAAGAAATAAATTTTTCCGGCAGGCTGATGTTTGCCTAGGGTTCGAGAAGCTCAATAGGCACTAACCTTTTGCCTATGTATTATTTAGACATCATTTACCATTTTATGGAAACCATTAATATTGTTGGTTAACTACTTTAATATTTTCAGTCTTCCACATGTCCAAGCCCTGTATAGCACTGCTTCCGCTCTACAAAAACAGCGTTATTTGATGACTCCCTGCGTTTACGACCCCCTTCCTCCTTAGCGGTCATGTACGACCCCTTTGATGGGTTCGCACAACGATGCTGTACCCTATCTGTGGAGCTTCACGTCATAGGTCTGCTTAACTGTTATGTTGATTGAGATGCTATTGTATTCATGCAGAGCACAAAATTTTGCAATTGCTGCGCGCGCATAGCTTCTCTAGCGCTGATTCCTTACTGACGCTTCAAACCTGAGCCCCGCAAGCATTCATACTTCACGACAGCAGCGTCGATCGCGGGCAATTCGCGCGACCCTCGGCGATGCCCATGCGTCGTACATGGCAGAGCGCCGTCCCACGTTATGACTATCGCTGCCGAAGTGCTTTTGCGGAAAAGTCGCTTAATTTCATTGCTTTTTTTCCCTTTACATGCAATTTTCTAGATACCTGAAGATTGGTTAACACAAAAAAGGTGGAATCCAACTTAATGGCCTTCGATTTCTGATTTTCTTTCTTGGTCAGATAGAATGAGGCAAAAAACCGTTAAGAGCTTCATTAGGGTAGGTTATTATTTTATTTCCTTTTTTCATCATCGTCCGAGCTTATACATTGAGGTGTTATAGTATTTTCACCTGTTGTGTTGCGAAAATAATAGTGTTTTTGCGTTCCTAAGGTGAGTTATTTCTGTTTCTGCTTTTTTTCTCCTTGTTGTTTGAACTCGAACTTGTGAACTATTCGAATTTGGAAATACGTTCAGACATAAGAATTTCAAGAGCGCTTGCATTGAATTTGAAAACAATAAAACAAAACCCGAAACAAAAGACACGCTCACCCAGGATAGTTGTTGCCCATTCCCGAACCCAAAAGAAGTGAAAACCTACTTACCTCATCATTTCCAGACTCCGCTTAATGTTTTTTTTTTCTTTTTTCCTATAGCCAGAGAAAGAAGGTCTCACAAGTTGGATTTCCTTATTTATCAAGCGAGCAGTCCATAATAGCGTTGGGGCGCGCTCTGCCACGTACCGGCGATCGCCGCTGCTGTCGCGAAGTATGAACGCTGCCTTTCTCTTGTAGGCAGCGTTCAGACTTCGCGACGGCAGCGCTTCGGTCGCGCGTTCGACGCGATCGATGCGCATGCTTTCGACTGCATTGATCGCGTCGAACGCGCGACCGAAGCGCTGCCGTCGCGAAGTCTGAACGCTGCCGTAGGAAAAGCATTCATTTCCAGCTGACATCACATGCGAAGACATCTGCTGGTTTTCGTTATTCTCTGTACTATTCCCGCTTTTGTCGTACTTTTCTTCAAAACAAATGAAATCTCCAGTAACGTTTGGTCGGGCGACTATACGCCGTGGCACGTGCCGCCATTTACAACTCAGGTATGTATAAAATCTGTGAAATGTTTATACACTACAACATATGTGCATTAGCTTCCAGATAAACTGTTCAGTGATGCTGGAAATGATTAATCCACCGTTTCGAGCGTTCTTAATCGATACAAGTGTCTTGCAAAGCCTTGATGACAGCAGATGTGAAATAGAAGGGCAACGGATACAATTGGCAGTTGATGTGGGACTTTTGAAGACGATTCGAAAAGGAAACTATGTGGATTACGACATTATACACTATGAGACGCCTTCATACAAGGACTATTTTAGAATTTACGACGCTGAGACGAGAATCGTACCTCGGTAGGAAGCCCAGCAGTATTTCTGTAAATTTGTAAGGTCTCATGATAATAACTGCAACCAAATAGACTTTCAGAGTTCCTCTCATTGTCAGTGGAAACCTGTCCATTCCTCGTGACATTAAAAGGTTTCTTGAAGCTTGGAAGAGATCGAAATTTGTCGAATGCCTCGGATTAAACATGAGAAGAACACTCAGCAGATCGTATCTCCCTCCGGATAAAACTGTTAAAACAATGTCGTCTTTGGTAAAATACCTCACGTCGTTCGACATCTACCCGTTTCTCAACGGTGGAACCTTATTAGGTGAGTCAGAAATGTTGGCTGCGAGAAATTAGCACTGTAAGAAGAAGAGCGGTCCAAATCTGCGCGCGTATGACGATTGTTGCGTTGCGAGAGGCGCGGCATTCGCACCGTGACCGATTTATTAGACGTAAAAGTG